GGGTAATATACATTTAAACATTTCAGGGCCAAAGTGCAAATAAAAATCTCTAAATAGCAAGCAGAAAGAAGAATTCTGTAAACGGCAAGTGGCAGTTAATGTGATTAGCTACATATTCTGTAGCTGCAGTAGTGCAAATTCCAACCTATAGCTTTAAGGATGAAGGGCAGAAGGGAAATCTAAAGAACAGTAGATTTTTATATTGTTTGGGAACGTGAAGTGCATAAGGGGGGGATTACTGTTGGGTAGACTTTATATCCAGGAACAGATCTTCCAGCACTGTCACAATGGTTGTAGTTCCTTTGACTGCATTTATCACTGGTGAATAATCATAACACAATTGAATGATAGACCAGGTGACCTTGCACAGTGGAATTCACAAAAGCAAATTACTCATGCTGTGGTTTCTGCAGTTTCTCACAGATATTGCTGCTTTGATATGCTGTGCTTTATACTTTAGGGCTGATATGTCTACTGCCTGCTAAGAGGGAGTTTTTATTTGCTTTTGCTATTTTATTTATCTGAAGGAAGTGTTGCTTTAGGGTGTACTGAGGTGGAGGCTTTTCCAAGTGAAAAGATAAGAGAAAATGTCTTCAAGATGAGAAGAGGTAGTAACCTATAAAACTTAAAGATATGGCCCAGGCAGTGAGGAGGAGATGCAGGAGGAAGGTGGAGGTGAGAGAGCAGCAGAAGCATCAACCTCCTGTGAGACTAGGCAACCTCTGTCTGCATTGGATGTCCAGAGAGAGCAAGGCAAGGTTTCATCTCCCATGGGAGTGAGCACTGACCACCACAGCATGTGCTGTCCTTGCACAAGGAGGAGAACCACAGAAATGCCCACAAACTAGGAATTCCTTCATTAATTTTTTCCTCCTGAAATGTTGCAACATTTGCTGCAGCCCTGCACCTAGTAGCAGCCCAGCTCATGGCCTTCAGTACTGATCAGCTAGCAAATATCTATTAAACTTGCGAGAGGGACAAGAAGGAGAAATACATCCTCACAGATAACTCCTTTCCAACAATGCATCTCTCCCAGAACTGAAGATCTGATGGTAGGTGATGCCTCTGCTCAAGGGCTCCCTGGTCCTTCCTTGGAGGATGGGGACCTTCCCATTGTCCCCAGCACTGGTGACAGTGAAGATGAGATGCTGCTGCCCTAATAAGACCTGACAAATGGGCAATTGGGCTGTGGCTTAGGGAATTTAACGGTTAATTTCCATAGCGCTGTGTCAGGGCAAAGGGCAGGAAGAAGTAATTCTGCTGCAGAGCAGCAATGGGGATGCCTTTCCGTCTGAAAGGTGCTGGTGAAGCTGGAAAGATTGAGTTAACTAGGATTTCTGTGTCGGCGCCCAAGACCTTTTATAAACAGACTGCATGATCTAAATACCATGCGACTACTTCCCCTAACTGCAATCCGGTATCAAATTCAGAGTGGGCCATGCCATTTTATATTTGGTTGGTGCACGCGCTCTGCTATGCGAGAGAGGCCACTATGCCTGTAAAGGAGAGAAGTTAGTTCAGAAACAAAAACTGTGTGCCTGTACACTGGAGAACAAGTCTGCTCCGTGAGCAGAGGTTTAGCCCTGTAGTAGCTGATATGTCAGCAATAACTGTTCGAAAAAATATTTTTGCACAGAATCTGGCAGTTTTGGCTGAAAACCTTGAACTAAAAGGGGCTTGTGAGTAAAAGGAAAAGCCTTCATGCCCTTGATGAAGCTTCTTTTAGGGCTTATAGGCTTCGTGAAGAGAAGCCATCTTTGCAGAAAAATAACATTTTGGATGATTTATAGGAAAAAAGGGAACTGAAAACAATTTTTTGCCAAATGCCTGCAGGTTTTAAGATTGTGTATCCAAATATATATGTATCTCCTTCCTTTAAAAACAAAAAAGCAATTACATTTGTTTTTTATGTGTGGGTCTAAAACCAGAATGAGTGTGCTGAACAGTAATTACTGAATATGTTTTATTCAAAATAGTTTTTGATGTTCCACTGTCTGTGAAGTATCAGTATTACTTTGAATATCAACAATAAAATATTTTCTCAATTGGATATGGTATATTTGTATATGTGTTTTGCCCATTGTGAAAGACAGAACTATGTGTAACCATGTGTAAATACTCAGTATATTTGTGAAATACTGAGTATTCAGGATTCTGGCAGTAGGTACTTCTATGTACGTGGAAGTGTCTATTTTTATGTTACCTATGTATGTATGAAATGATCAGGTAGAACATACTTGCTCTAAAGAGCAATGACTATAAGGGTGGTAGGTGTTTTGTTCAATAAGTACTTTCTACTTCAGTAACCAAAGGGGTTTTTAATTTTGCCTATAACTAAACCTGTTTTGAACATACAGAAGTGGGAAAGTGAATTCTATGTATTCATTTGAGGTTCTTGCAACTTGTAAGAAGTGGTGGTGGAAATTAAGCTGCTTGTAATTAGGAGAAGCACAATGTGAGTATTTTTAGCATGCAGCTGGAGGATTCCTGCCACCCTTTTAGACAGGACTAACAGCCACTTGTCTTCTGAATCTGACAACTAGGCAAGTACTAACAGCTACACAGAGACTATTTGGAGATGGGCTGAATAAGCAAGTGATCCCATAAAAGGGAAGGTGAACAACAGAAGAAAAACTGGTGTCCTCAACTGGAAGACTGTACTGTGAATAGAAAAGCCTTTTATGATGAGCAAGCCCAACAAATTCACTTCTTATTATATTTTGGAGGAATTCTTAATTCATTATCTTAATCTTGCTGTGTTTTAACTTAAAATACTGCTATTTGTCATTTCTGTTGATAACGTGTTAATCATAGGTTTCTGCTGAGAGTTAGCGTTGAGCTGTGAAGAGCCTCTTTCTTTGGGATGGGGGTCCTAATTTCTTTGTACTGTAATGCAGGATTGCTGCAATTTCACTACAAACTGCTGCTTCCTTGAAATGAAAAATTGGGCTTGCATAATTTGCCTTGTTTTTGTTTGGGATAAAAAGACCCCACAACCCAAACCCCTCTCACCTCCAATCTTTCATTATCTTCACAGTATGAATATTAAGCAATTTCCACATCCAGTTGCATTGAACAGCTCTAGTCAAGCAGCGAGTAGAGAGGCTGATGTGTGTGTGGTAACGGATGGCTCTTCTTTTGCATAGGAGAGGCTCAACTCAGGAGTCCAAACACATCTTGTTTCCTTGTGCTCAGCATTGCTTATTACATACAGATATATGCCCTGAAAGCAAATTCTGCCAGAGTGGAGCATGTCTACCTGGCGACGTTGTTTGTGCAGCTGATGGGTCCTGTTTTCAGAACTGGACAATCAGGACAAAGTTGCCATTTAGCCAGCTCACCTCCAGGTGTATTTAGCCATGAGGAACTCAAAACTGTGAATAGTTCCATGCACGTATCTGGCTCCCTTGCCGAGGTGGGCTCCAGCTGGCTTTACTGGGGACTCTTTCCCTGGATCACACAGGGACACACTGGCCTCATTTCTTTAATCTTCTATGTGGCTGGGAGAGGTTTGTTTTATTTCCTTTTTGCTTCTAATCAGGAGTTCATTTAACCCTGGCTGATACACATCCATAGAGTAAACCCAATGGAAATTGCCATTTCCCCCTTCATAAGGTTAAAAAAACAAAGTTTAATGCACCATGTTGTGTTATCTGTTTCCCTCACTATTTTTATGATTTCACGGTGTTTTAATAAAAGAGCTGTTTTCAGATAAGAGCCAAGGATGACGACAGCCCCACTGGTGGCCATTTGAGATGCTAGTCCTGTGTGGGTCTCCACCAGGAGACGAATATTTGAAGACAGAGGTGGGAAGTTACACCCCTGCCCCTGGGACATCTTTCCTGAAAAAAAAATCAACAAAACAACCAACCAAACAAAAAACAAATCATTCAATAATAGCTCTCACACTTCCAAAGGTGCTGAGGAAATACCTGGTTATTGCAGAGCTCTTGATCAGTCTGGGTGGGAAAAAAATTCAACCCCCTATGTTCTGGATGAACGCCAGCAGCCAGGGGACGCCAGCGGCTCCTGCCTGGCTTGGGAGCTGCGTCCTCTCAGGGCTTTCTTTTCTCACTCAGTTTTTGAGGCCCTTTTGCATCATTTTTAAGTAATCCTAATAATACTGGCTGTGTATCTAACAATGCACTGGTGTTGTCTGCTCCTGGATGGCTCCCCACTGCCTGGGTGCAGGGACTGGGATGCCCCTGAAAGCTGCTGGTTTTGGGAAGCTTCACAAGTGCTACTGCACAGGTATTTCTTTCTCCTTAAACTGGTTCCCTTCGTTCGATGGCATAGGAAAAATAAACCACATCGTTTGACAACAGTGTCACCGAAGGAATAAGACCCTTTGGAGCATAGATGAGGAAAACGCAATAGTCACTTTGTTATAAACACCAGCCAGCTGAAAGTAGAAAAAACCTGCAGCAGCTGGAGCTCCTTGCCTTTCCTGAGATACTTGTAAAGTAATGTGGTCTTCTGGCTTGCACAAAAGGTGCATTTTTGAAGGATGTGAGCCTGTGTTAGAGTGTGGGTTTGGGATACCCATCGCTGCTCCCTTGGACATCCCAATGGGTCTTCAGCAGTGCTGTTTCCTTTCTTCCTGGTCTAACTCTGCAATTTTCTAGTATTCTCTAAAAGAAGCGGTTAAATCCTGTCACAGCGCAGTCTCTGATGACTTTATCAGTGCCCTACTGAGGTTTTTGGAAACCAGTCCCTGACCAGTTAAATTGTAAATGGTGACAAGCCATTCTGCCATTCACCTCTGCTCCTGTTTGCAGCTCTCTGGCCAGGGGAGGGTGTCCCCAAGTCCCTTTCCTAGGCAGTGACAGGGATGCCACTAAAGCTGAGCCAAAGTAACCCCACTGCTACCTGCCCCTGCAGGAGGGCAGCTGGAGCTTCATGGGAGCACCATGGTTTTCGTGAGGTTGGGTTGCTGGGGGCTAAGGTGGTGACCACCTTGTGGGTTTGCTCTGCTCACCCCTCTTCTCTACTATTGCCAGGTGTGTTTCTCCGGCCACCGCATGAGTACGTCCTCCCCCTGCGATGGCCACGCAGCCCACTCTGGCATGGGTGCTGCTGCTCAGCCTGCTGGCCAGCTGCCTGCCAGCCGTGCAGCCCAGGGACTTCACCGTGAAGGACATTGTCTACCTCCACCCTTCCAGTAAGCCACCTTTGCGCAGGCTGCAAAGCCACAGGCAGCCGCGGCATGGGGGTAAGGATGGGGGCAAATCTGGTTTAAGGCAGCAGAAACACCAGGGTTGAGCTGGGAGCTGAGCAAAGATTAAAAAAACCAACCCAGTACTCATAAAACCAAGTAGATGTACAACCAGACCATTGCTTCCCAAGGGCTCACAGGTCAGCAAGGATTACAGGCAGCTGCTGAGCATGTCAGGAGTTTCTTGTTTACTATTTTCTGTTCCTCAATAATCTCTCTGGCCATGAGACCAAGCTCCATGCCACATGGTTTGCCCAAGCACATCAATAGCGGTGACCAAGGGGCAAAATTTGACTATTAACAATTATGGCACTAACTGCTTTTGACTTTATTTCAGTAAGTCCCTGAAGCAATGCTACAGCAAAGTGATGCATCTTTAGGTCTTGTCTTTTTACCAGTCTGTTCACTTTATTGGATACAAAGTTATTTAATTCTACAAAAAGAAAGCACTTGCTGAACTGTATCTGACATCTGCCTCCAGAAAAAGCTCATCACCTTTCTGGATTTGGCTGAAAATTTATATTCTGTACAAGATGAAATTCCTGTTTTATGCTGTAACTGTGACTTACTAGAGGTCCAGGGTGACATGGGTGAACTTAGTTGGTGTGTTGTCCCACCCCAAGCTGTTGCTTGAGGCAGCACCAGCCCGGCCAGGGATGCTCCCAGGTTGGTCCCTACCCAGAGAAGCCTGGGGACATGAGCAGTGAATGCCTCTTGCTTCAGCTCTCACACCTGAATGGGGTCTGGCCCAGAACTGCTGGGCAAGGGGAGGAGGTGAAGAGGAGGGAGAGGGGAGATGTGGTCCACAGGGCTGTGGATGTTCAGCTTACTTCATCCCATGCAGACAAATGTGACCTGTTCACAATTCAGCTTCTGAGAAGGTGGCAGCATCTTGAAGATGTATTGAATGTGCTACAGAAACCCTGCCAGGAGATCACTTAAGAAGTTGCAGTCTTTGTTTGGTGAGATAATAGGATAGAGTCTGCTGTTGAAAACTGGAGGTTCAGCTGTTCCTTTGGGGACATCAGCCTGCCTTCAAAAGGGATAGCTCATTTTTCCAGCGGGACAGTTTCCAGAAGTATTTTAATCCATCTGATATTTTGTTATCAGGACTGATAAAGTAGCTGTATTGGATGTGAGCTCTCATACCAAGAGGATAAGTACTCCTTGCTCACATTAACTCCCTTTGAAGTCTGCAGTAGGCGCTTCTGCTAGGTAAACAGGCCTGAACTGAGTCCTTATTGTGCCTGTATGTGCCTTTCCTTCATTGCTATTAGTGATAGGATTTTTATAAATCAGGACCAACCTGATGAAGTTGAAAGGTATACTTGTAGAAAGATATGTCTAAAGAGAACAAATGCTGCTATGTGCCTCTGAAAAGCATAGTAGAACCAGATTAATTGGCTCACTTTAACTGCATATTGTCTGTTCCTTTCAGCCACACCATATCCTCGTGGATTTAAGTGTTTCACCTGCGAAAAGGCAGCGGATAATTATGAATGCAACCGATGGGCCCCGGATGTCTATTGTCCAAGAGGTAACCAGCTGCACGCTTGTGTTGAATTTAAACCCACTTTACAACAACCTCTCACTGTCCTCACTACAGGACAGCACTGAGCCTCCATTATTCCTTGAGAATACTTGGATGCTGGTGATTGCTGTTCCTGCTTGTAAGCCATCTCAACAAGAAAGATGTGTAAGCGATATGGGTAATCCTTTAAGCTTTTCTGTCTCTTTGTGATGGATGAAGTTTAGGACTTTCATCTATTCCCCGTACCCCTCTAGCTCAGCTGGAAATTAAATCAGGCTTACTTTTATTGAAGGGTTGTATTTCTCTTACTGTTGTGAGTGTGGGACCTGTTCTTGCATTGTTTGCTTCCCCACCCTAGGGCATAAGCCCATGCTTCAGGGCAGCTGAAGCTGCCTCTTTTTGCCTGGCATTGAGGTATTTTCAGTATCTTGGGCTCATAACTCTGGACTCAGAAGCTGGGACCAGCTCAGGAAGGGCTTTGGAATACAGGCACACAAGTAGCAGATCCAGGTAGCAGGGAGATCCATGAATCTACACCTCCCTTACCACTTCTCTTTTTAAGATACTCATCAGGCATTAAGATTGCCCACAGCTGCTGCTGAAGCCCATTTAGTTGGGTTGGACATGGTGTGTGTCCTCACCAGGGTGGGTGCATGGAGGATGCAGCTGAATTCGCATGGGCGGTGGGATGCTGCCAGGGCTTGTTTTTCCTCTAGTGCTTCCCCTGGGCTTGGCAGCCCTGTTCAGCACCTATCCAGGACGTCTGTGGTCTGTTGTGAGACATTACAAGTGCTCTCAGAAAATATTTGTTTTGGAGGGGGACAGACAGTGACCTGTGCAGTGGGGACAGACCAGCTGTGTTTGCAGCCTTTGTCAGAGCACCTTATCTGTCTGAGAATTTATTTGCTTTGAGCTGAAATCAGCGCAACATCAATAACAATAAAAGATCAGCCTAGCTGGCATCAGATGAGACCAACAGTCACGGATGCTCCCTGTTTTGACAGTAGTGGATGGTATTTGAACTGTAGCCTGTAGATCACTGTGCAAGAGAGGCCCAACTCTGAGGTCTACCTTAATATAGCCAGCAGAAATGACCTGACCAGAAAAAGTTCTAATCTGGCAAGTTAGGGGCTGTTTAGGGGAGGGGAAAGCCATGCTTCAGTGTGTCTGAAACTCATCAGCTGCATTCATCCAGACCAGAACTGCTAGTTATGGTGATCAGCCCTCCTGCCTGCTGGTACAAACATCCACTGTATGTCCATGAAGCAGGGTGGGGTTTTATCCATGAAGAGGGGCTAGCTGGAAATCTGAGTCTATCTTTAACCTTCAGCACAGAAGCTTTCTTAATTCCTTAAACTGGAGGGATCTGGTAATGTTTTACCCAGCACAACACCTTAGTAACCAGGCTGCCTGACAGTGCGCGCTTTGGAGCTGGAGAATGGCTCTGCCTGTGGCATGGACCCACAGCCCCTCACTGCTGGCTTTTGGGTCAGACCAGGGGCCCCCGGTGAAGTTGGCGTTACTGTGTGTCAGAGGAGCAGGGACTTGGGGAAAGGGGATGGGCACTATGGCTTAAAGGCTGTGTCCTTATTCTGTTGCAGTGGAAGAGAAGACAGGAGCAAAACTGATACTGTCATTGCTCCCCACCCTGCAGCAATCGGCTGTTGCTTTGGGATGCCTCATCACCAACAGCTTTTGTTAATGTTGCTTAGCTTTACATCCAATACACTTCTACATCAGAAAGCTTTTATTAAGGCAGCTTTTTAATTTTGTTACTTTAATTTTCAAATGTAATTTTGAGTTTGTGTAAGGAAACCGCAGAAATGTAAGCTTAGGTTTGAGGCGTGACTGAGGTCATCTGCTCTGGTAATCACCTTGTCTCTGGGAGTCAGAGGTATACACTATGCTTTGGTGGGAGAAAATGAGAACACTATGTCCAGCTGCTATTATTTTTGAAAAAGACAGAATGCTGTTAAAACCAAAATACTTTCATCAGCTATAATGTAGGACTTATAGGGAACTGCATTTTATTTATAATAAAACTTGTTATAATGGAGACTGAATACGTGAATCCTGCGTTAGAGATTAGAAAAAGAATTTCCTAGAAAGGAGACTTCCTTCTATGCATGAACCTTGGTTTCTGTTATTTATTAGCTTCAGCTCAAGCAGAAACTGTATTAAGTGATCAAATTTGCATGGAAATACTGCACTTGGAATACTCCCAGTACTCTGGTTTTGGATGGACTATGAGCGGGCTGACAACTTGTGAACGGGATGGTGGCCGCAACTGCTGAGGTGATGTTTCAGTGTTGTTAGAGGCTTTGGTTTGGGAAGCAGGCTCTCAAAAGTCAATGTATGACTCTGGGCCCTTTGAAATACCAGATTTGGTGTTTCCCTACACAGTTTAAAGCAGAGAGGTCCAATTTTTCCTATTGGAGACATGTACCAACCTTCACGAGTCTCAACACGTGGGGCTGTTTTCTTAAATTTAGCCTGGATGTTGGGCTGCACCATGACTTCTGGTTTCAGTAGCTGGATTCTTTCTTTGTGTTCCCTCTTCAGGGTACAGGAAGGTGCTCATCAGGTGGATCCCCTGGAGAACATGTGTTTTAGCTATTGGATGATGCTGCTGTTGGTCAGCATTGCTTAGGTTGAGACTGAGGTGGTCTGTTGTTAGTAGACATTTGGAGAAACCTCGCTCGCTGTCTTTGCAAGACAGTTCACCCCGAGGAAAGAAAAATGCAAAAGCAGAAGTGACAGTGTCACATGGGTGGTCAGTATAAATCAACAGCCCTAAACCCCCACCCCCCACCCCCAAATTATTCCATAGAGCAAAGATCTCATTTTCAAATGCTTTTGTAATGGAATGTGTTACTGGACAGGTAAATATTATACCACAGTCAGCTTGGCTCTCAAATGCCTTTAAAGATGCTCTAGCACTGCAAAGTTTATGAAACAAAAATCCATGCTTGTTTGGTACGATACCACTGAGACCCATCCTTACAGTGTGGCTTTACTGCTGCCTAGCTTGGGCACCACTTACTTAGAAGCATCAACTTTCATGTTGCAACGCTTTATTTTAAATGCTGTAAACATCTCTTATTTCTGGTAAAATTATTATGGTGTTGGGCCTGTGCTCTTCACAGGCTCAGCTTGGAGTTCCTCCTCCATCACACTGGCAGGCAGCCTCCCTATCCACAGGGCACTTGTTATGGGTTAGATGTGATGATGTTCCCCAACTCTGCTTTCCTCTGGGCTCTCCCAGAGCTCTCTGGCCCCATCCTTTTCATAGTGCCTGTCCTGAGAAGAGAGGCAGGCCAGAATACAGTGAAAAAGTTACTATTAATTTGAGTGGATTTTTTTTTTTGCTTATTGCGGACTTATTCTGTAGCTGCAGCCCTGCAGCCATCAATGATGGCTGTGCAAGGAGAAGCATGTGGGGAAAATACATTTCTCAAAGATGATTGCACAATATTTTCTGAAAACACGCTTGGAAGAAAGAATGAAACAGCCTTAAAAGAGTTATGGGGTGCTAGAAGCTTTATTTGTTCCATCTGGGACCTGTCAAGAGTGGGCTCCACTTCACGGGCAGAGCCATTGCAGGAGAAATAAAGCTCCTGTGATTCATGTATGGCTTTGCTGGGGAGTGGCACTTCCAGACACATCCTGGGAGAAGCTCAAAGCTTCTGCCTGAGCAGAGAGTGCTGCTTCCCTTAGGGTGAGACCGTGAGCTTCACCCCTTGGGGTGGGAGAGCCTGGAAAACGCATTACAAGCTGTGTGTTGCAGCCCTGGCTGGTTTGACGGAAGACAGCACGCCGAGAATATCCAGCCTCTGTTGATAAGCTAAGTCTGTTTGCTGTGGATATTGCACTTGAGTTAAGAGCAGGTCAAAGATATGACAGATGTCTGAGGGGTTTTATTGCCTAATGAATAACATGTTCAGTTGGCCATCTTGCTCTGCTGCTGCCGAATGCCTAAAACATGTGAAGTATGCAGGGCTTTGCCCATTGGAGACAAGGGCTGAACAGGAATGTTCACTTTAAATTAAATACACCTCTTTCCCTCTCTTCCACTTCCCACCCCTCCCCCCATGAAAGCAACAATTTTATTAATAATAAGGTCGATTAATAAGAAGTAGGTTATAATTTAGAGAAGAAATATATAATAGCATGTTTCCTGTGTTGGAAATCTGGTGTTTTCATCTTGGAGTGCTAGGAAGCGAAACAGCACCTTCAACTTTCCTCTTATGACTAAAGCAGGAAATAAACCTAAATTCCTTTATGCCTGAGGATAACCACAGCATTTGTCAAATATTCTGCTTTGAATTTTCTGTGTGTTTTACAAGCGTGGGTAGAAAAGTAGCTTAAAAAGGGAGAATGGCCTCCCTTGGGGATGAGGGAGCCCACAGGAGAAACGTGGAAGATGTGATGGGAGTACTAGGGGGACAGTCCATTTCATGCTGTTTTTTCCAAAGACTGGGAAAGTGAGAAATACATAAATTCTTTCAACTCTTCTGATGGTATTTTATAGATGGTAAAACTGAAGGACAGAGAGGTTCAAGGATCTCCTCCAGAGTCTGCAGGAGCTGTGGGAGAGTTGGGATCAGAGCATGAGCAGCAAGAACATCTTGCATGGGCTGTTAGGATATAGGGAAACGTGTCTCCAATGTGTAATGCTTTAGGTAGTTCTACAGAATGAATGGTTGTGCATGAAGCTAGGAAGAAATAAGCCTATATAAATGAAAGTTAGCTTCAGCTATAGAGAGGTGTGAATGTTTGGGGTTTCCTCTTAAGACAATTCCTATAAAACTGACAGTACACAAGATTTGGGGTGTTTATATGATCTTCCCACTGTGACTTGATTATCCAACATGCACACATTTCTTTATCCGTAACACAGAGGCCCACATTAGAACTGGGAACAAATCTCCGTGTTCCATAGTGGTTTGAAGGCTCACATTTGCACTAGAGCTTGGGGTGTGTGTGTGTTTATGTATTTTAATAAATATAGCAAAATGATCTTTTTTTTTAAACCCAAGATCTGAAAAAAAATCTAAGATTTTTTTCCTGTATCTTCCTATTTGTAGACTGTCACAAATCTTAATTTTGATGGATAAACACATTTTTCTGTCTTTCTAGGTACAAGATACTGCTTTAGCCAACACATGATGAAAGTTACTGGGGAGAGTGTATCTGTCACCAAACGCTGTGTACCATTAGAGGACTGTCTGTATACAGGATGCACATATGTAAGGCATGAAGGATACAAGGTATAGGATAAAACTTTCCCTCTTTTAAATATGAAAATTTGGTAGAATCCTTCTGGCCTCCACCAGAAGTCTGACTGGTTCAGTGGGTAAATCAGCATTGTCAAATATTTCTATTCTTAATGAGCTCCAGCTCATTTCCATTTGTTAGACAAACAAAGGAATAACCTCTCTCAGAACAAAAGAATAAGCTCTTTAAATAACTCTCCTGCCAGTAGTTCAGAGAAGCAAACCACTCCCTTCTGCTGAGGAGGGCTTTGCCTGCAGAGCTGCATCATGTTTTGGCCCCTCTGCTCTGCTACTGATTCCCACAGACAATCTTGTGGGCTTCTTACTGAAATGGGTTGGGGAAAGCCCCGAAACCTTCAGAGCAGATGTTTTATATCTGAATCAAACAGTTATTTATTAAAGATTCTTCAGCAGGTCACTAGCTAACTGCTCTGAATTTCTCCAACAGGTTAAAATAAGAGAGCTTTTTCAGCTCTGAGGTGCACTGCAGCCTCATCACCATGCACCCCCTTACACGAATAAATACTGGTTATATTTTTTAGTTACGGCCTGTGAGCTCTATGTCTTTACTGTGAGGGTGGTGAGGCACTGGCACAGGCTGTCCAGAGAAGCTGTGCCTGCCCCATCCCTGGCAGTGTTCAAGGCCAGGTTGGAGGGGGCTTGGAGCAACCTGGTCTAGTGGAAGGTGCTCCTACCCATGGCAAGGAGGTTGTAACTAGATGGTCTTTAAGGTCCATTTCAACCCAAATCATTCTGTGGTTCCATGATTCTACCAAATAATGTTTGGTTTTTGTCAGTTTAGCTTATTTGATGTAGAAAAGAAAAGAAAATAATCTCTTTGGAATGTGTCCTCCTTGTACCAGCCAATGTACTGTTCTTGTACAAATGAAATTGTTCTCAAAGCAGATGGATTAAGTAGATGGAGGAAAGAAGCGGAGATGGGAGTGGAATCAGACTGGCCAATGTGCTTCTTTGCAAATATTGTATTATTTCCCTATGTCTTTATTCAGGGTATTGGTATTTTTCATATAACTAAGTTATAACTGGGTTTCTTTCAGATCTGCACCTCCTGCTGCGAAGGAAGCATCTGCAACTTGCCCCTACCAAGGAACACAACAGATGCTGTATTTACAACCCTCTCCCCCCTCAACAAAACACAGAGACTTTCACATCCTGCCCTGCTGACAGCAGCGTGTCTTTGGCTGGGGTTTATCTCACAGCACTGGGTTGTGCTGCCGGGTCCAGGCAGCTGAGCTGCGTGAGAGCATCTGTGTGAACATTCATCCTCTCCCTACAGAGCCTGTGGCTTGGAGTTGTCTTTGGAACTGCTTTTCCTCCTGATTTCTTGCTAACCATGAACTAGCCAGCCTGGAATCTAGATGTATTTGAAGGGTGTAAACCCCACCCCCACTTCTCCACTGTTTTCTGAAGAAACTCATGCAAGATGTTCCCAGAATCCATGGCTGAGATGGATGCATACCCTTTTCTTAATGTCTATCTTTAAACGTACTATATTGCCGATAGTATCAATACTTACTCACTTGAAACTTTATTATAATTTGTCAGAGCACTAACTCTGGTGTCTCATTAACCTCTTCTGAGAACATACAGTAAATAATACACAGTCAGTATATGTCTTTGCAGTATCCCTGTATCTCTTGTTCTTCTCTGAGCAGGCAGGAATTTGTAGCAAGGCAGCAGCAGCCATCAAAGGAGCAGCAGCAGCTTGGATCAGGCCAGCATCATTCGAAGATGCTTCCTCTGAGGTTGTCCACCAGAAGCCTGAAGAGCCACCCCTACAACAGCACACACGGGGATGTGCAGAAAATCACTGTTGCTTATAAACTGAACTGGAAAAACTCTAAAACCTCTGTTTCTGAGGCATGGTTAGAGGGAAGGAGGGTGTGTGGCCCCTGACCCTCAACTGCAAGGAGGTAAGGTTATGGGGAGCAGGTGGGTGGCCCAGTTGAGATGCTGGTGCCTACCAAGCCAAAGAGTTCTCAGCGTTCTGGGGCTTTACATATTTTGGCATTACTAGATACAGCTGTATTTTGGTGACCTGTGTTGCTTGTTTTGCTCAGAAATCATCTATGCAATATTTATTTTTGTATGTTGAGTAGGATTTAAAGTGTTTAAAAGATTCTTAATACCTATATTGCCAGGTAAAATGGTTGTTTTGCAAGTAAACAAGCCTGTAATATATAAATTATCATATATATATATATAAAAGTTCTTAATTTTTAAAAGTCAACTTTGTTCGCAAGGTCTATAATAAAAGCAGGGTGTCACGGACTTGCTTTAAAATTAAGCTAAATTCTTTTGTAATTTTTTTTCCCCTTTTTTAACTATAGTCATAAATTGTCCTTTTAGGAGATAGCTCTTTGCTACTTGTGCTCCAAGGCACCTTGTGCTTACCAAGTTACAGTACGGTTATGCTCTGAAGTGCTTTTTTTTGTGAGCTATACAGTGAAAGGCAGGTGAAGGAAGGCAATGCTGGAATGCAAATGCTTTGTGAAGGGCTCCTAGAGAGTACAGGCAAGCCCTCATCTACCGGCGTGTGCATTGTGTACCAGTAACAGTGAGAAATCCACAGAGCTGAGCATGCAAGGTGCTGTCCTGAGCTTTGTGGCCTATAGACTGAACCTTGATTCTACTTCCAGGGAGTTTTACTGGAGGCAAAGGAGGAGGAGGAGCAGGACCAAGAGCAGCATTCCCTCCCAGTTTAGTTTCAGGTGATTTCCCTGGGGAAGGAAAGCAGGCTGGAAGCCTTGGTGTGTTTTGCTGGGCAATGTCTTTTAAAGATGTATGTATATATCATCATGAAAACTGACTTCGAACAGTTTCTTTCCTTTTGTTTAACTTTATATATAAACCTAGCCTCTTTGAGGAAAGGATGGCTGACTTCGCTCACAGACAAACCAACCTTGTGTTTTGCTGTCCTTTCTGTGAATTGCTCACAGATCGCTAGTACTGAGGATTGTTGCAATCTGTTATTTTAAGCAAGTTAGACCTATTTGGGGAGACCCCCAGGAAAATCAACCCTGTCTCCCTCTTCTGCAAGCTCACTCGGGCAGAGCTGTATGCCGTACTTACAGGCTGGGGGAGAATGAGCTGGAGGGGCTTATGACTTCTCTGACAGCAATTTAAATATTTTTTATTATTATCCTGCAAAATGGATGAGTTTAAGCCTGAAAGGACCTCATTTAGGGATTCAGCTGCTCTCCTGAGGTGCGGTTTAAACAGGTGTTCTGCATTGACTGAGCATTTTTGGCAGCACTCTCCTGCTGGAGCTGGGCTGGATCCAGAATACGTACTTTGAGAAGACAGGTTGGAAAGCCAGCATGATGAGAAAGCATGGGAAATCTGGGATTACCCATGAACAACATCTTGCTTACCTTTTCAACCAAGGTAGGCTCAAGGCTCGGGCCATGTTGCACAGGGGCAGCAGCAGCACCTTGTGGGAAGCTCCCCACCATCCTCAGGACTCACACTAGTGATGGCAGCTCAGCTGGACATTTTAAGGTTTTACATTTTTACTTTGGGCCTTGCACATGCTTTTAGGAGCGAGTCCCCCAGTGAGATACCTAACCAGCAGCAAGAGGCAGATGTTACCCCCTGACCTCAGTTGGCTGCCTTGGTCAATAGCTTAGTCAGGTTTCTGGCTGTGCTGTACGTTGTCTCCCCCTATTTCCCATATGTTTTGCAGTCTCACTGTTATCCAACCAGCCTAACCAGTGGCATGGTAACTCTGAACTAGATATGTACAACCATGCAGGATGAGCTGCAGCAATAGCCAGGTTTCTTCATAAAATACTGAGACTTTTAGGACCATTACCACCCCATTAAAGGTGTGGTGCCTGCAGTAAGGGCTCCAGTGCTAGGTGGCTCCCCACATGCACTAATAGACAGGATCTTCATGCTGTGTTTAGGTGTACTTCAGACAGACCAGACACCTTTTCTGGGTACCTTTCAGTGCTCTCTACCCACAAACAATGGGTTACCACTGATCAAATGTAGTTATCAGTGTCGTAGGGGAGTTAAACCAAGGTAGTTACTTCTATTCCCTTTGTAGTCAGTGAATGATTGGACTGATTCACTGTATGCTAAGATGGTGGTTAAATTGTTTCAGGCACATGATGGATGTGCCTAGGAAAACTAGTTTGGTTATAAATACCGCATCCCACCTAGGTTATCCAGCTGCCAGCCACACAGTTACACCAAGACCAGTGCTTTGCAAATACCTGAGCAGGAGCCACTCCTAAGCATATCACTGGCTTTGCTCTGACCATTACATTGCTGCAGCCAGAGAAAATCCTTGCTCTTGTGATGAGCTGGTCCCTCTCCAACCATGGTCATGCCACAGTTGTGCCCTTCAAAAGGGACCTGAGCCCTGTCCAACTGAGCTGCTATCTCCTGCTGTGGTACAAGGATTATGGACATTGAGCTTAAAAGAGCAAATTAAGGTGACTGAGAGCAAGCGAGGAACCCAGTGAGAACCACCCCTGCACCAGCAGGTTGGTGTGCCCCATCTGCCCGCAGAGCTGTTGGGGGCTTTTTAAAGCACATAAATGCTGAGCTGCACTGTATTTATTTTTAGGCTCTATATATGTGATATTGCTTTTAAATGTCTAACTTTTTAACTCTTGTAAATGCTGTATATTTGTATAAATAAATTTTTTTAATATTCAGATAACATGCGAGGTGTCTGATAACAATGGACAATCACCATCACTAGCCCTGCCCTTCGGTGTGGTGCTACCTCCTGCGCTGGGATGCTGCTGTCTGCTCCCCTGCCCCCTTTTCCTTTCTGCCATGCCCTGCAAGCAAAACAAAAAAAGCTAAGCTAATGTATTTAAAGCATTTCATTTCAGCTCCCCCTGTAGCTAATGATGAGCTCCCATGGTTACTTGTTACAAACTGTTTTACGCTGGGCATTTAATAAAGTAAGTCGGAGGCGACTCCTGTTTAGTTTGTGACCACTGGATCTTCCTTTCTCTTGCCTGCTTTGGGAAAGCTTTACATTTTCCATAATGAGACCCAGTGTGTTCTGGGGTTTTTCATGCAGTTATTTCTGATTTTCACTCCTGACGCCAACGACTTGGATGTAAACAACTTCATGTAGCTAAAAGAAAGGTTTCAAAGTTACCTGTGGATCAGGTGAAGCAGGAGGCAGCTCACAGTACTTCCGCACAGCTCCAATTCCCAAGTCTTCAAGTTGAATAAAGGCAATTTATAGTAGCTCAGTACATTGGCTTACAGCTCCTGAACTTCCCCTTAGTCCTAAACCAAGTTTCCCTCTGGCTGTTTGTTTGGCATTTGGTGCACCTTTGGTTTACAAACATGCTTTGAAATAAGAGGCTCTGTTATCCCATTTCAACAGGTGCCTCTGGAAACACCAGTTGCTGCTCAGGCTTGGGACATGATGAACCTGGGTACGCAGCCTTGCAGCACTTACCTTGTTGCTGAATCAGTGATTTTTTTCAGCATTACAGCACAGTGAGCTGAAGGCAGATGTTAGTTAATGAACACTTTGAATTCAATTGTTTTGCAGAAAGTAAAGCACCGCTAGTAAAACAATTAATCTTCACTGCATAACTCTTTTCCTCCCCTTAACCACCACTAGACACAGCTTTCAGCTACCCAGTTCATGCAAAACACACCTAGCACCAAGGCAGACAAAGCAATACTGAACCTCCTGATTGTAGTAGCAAGAACCTCTTCTCCACTGCCAAGCAAAATCCGGCACAGTCCCACAAAAACCAGCGTGAACAACCTGGCCAGGCAAACGTTTTGAGAGCATTTTTACCCTCTTAAAGCAGCTCAAGTAACCAGCAAAGGCTATGCGCCCTAGTGTCTCACTAATGCCTGGAAGTTCCTGTATATTCCTGTTCAAGGCTGAGGAGAGGACTTTGCAACATAACTTGCTCTTTCCACCAAGAACCTGCCAACAAGTTGAACTCTTGATTCTCGTGTATGGTATCACCATACCCACATGCAGGTAGTGGGAAAGTAAATGGAAAATGTGCTTAAAATATGTATTTTATGGAATCAATAACGTCAAGCATAAATTAAGTCTCATGACCTAAAGATGCAAACCTTGGAAATGGTGATGCCCAAAGCCTCATCAATTCAGACTTTAAAAACCAAGATGGGACCCAGCCCTCTGAATCAAAGCCCTTGTACGCCCCACAGCATTACACTCCCTGCTGTGCATCAAAACAGGCTTCCAGTTTTTGCTGCATCTTGCCAATACATGTTTTACAATGCCAGCCCATTAGCTCATTTGATTGGTTCTTGTATCAATTTCTCTTTGCTCATTCCTGGGTGGGATTCCCCTTGATATTAATCCCAGCGTCCTCTCAGCTTTCTCCTTAGCCAACCATCAGCCACCCATTGCCCAGGCTGCGCTAATAATTCCTTTAGCACTGACATTATTTATTTGAAAGCATCTTGAATATATCTATTTCAACCTACCTATATGTATTTATGGGCTTTAAGGTTTCTGATCCCCTTTTTAAGATTTCACCAGGTCTTAGACATGTAACATTTACACACTTCATCACAGAGCTCAACCTACAAGTCTTAGGCTATAAAAATTAGCAGGATATCTATCTTCAACATGATGGACCCTATCCACAATAAAAGGAAACAAACCCAGCATAGGGCTGATGATACCAGAAAAACAAAAAGTGATACCAAGCTGTCAAAAAACCACCCCTCTAAGAGGTTTTCTTCACGCTGAGAAGCAATCTGAGCAAGCCAGCTTCACTGATGTTTATAAACATTTTACTACTCACCAATATAAAAGTTAAATAGTCTTCAGCTGTGCTACAGATGTTCCTATCAAGAAGACAGGCTAAACCTCAGCTTGACAGTCCATGTGTGTCAGAAATGGCTAACCCCAACCTCCTACCCAAAAGGTCAGGTAGACACAGCAGTAAGGGGCTGCCAGCCAGGTTCCTTCTGTTGCTGGGGGCTGGAAGAATATTTTAAGTAGGTAACTATTTCAAAGGGGTAACTTACAGGTTTTCCTTGTAAAAATATAAATAATCCTATTGCTGTGAGGTTGTGTGCCATGCAGGGCAGTATCTGGACAGCTAAATAAAAGAGCTGCACCTAATGCCCACAGCAGATGTCACAGGGCTGATGTTACTCACCCCATAGTTGACCACCTGGAATGGGTATTTCTTACTGCTCACACTCATCTAATTCCTTATCAACCTAAGCACAGGTAGGGTGCAACATGTGTGCTCACACAGCTTCTTCATAACAAAAATGGTGGGTCTGGTCACCCAAAAACATCCCACTTAACCCAAATGCTGAGTTTTCTCCAAGTGAAAATACATTCCAACAAGTTCATTTCCCATTGTTTCCTATCAGTACTCACCTAGTCTCTACGGGATAGCAACATGTCTCAGACACAAACCCCTCCCCAAGTCCAGCTCTCAGACTACATTTGTTTTCTTAAAGCTTTTCCAATCTGCCAGACACTGCAGTTTTAGCAGCAGAGATTACTTACTCAGTGAAGCGTAACACCCGGTTGCATGAAATTTCAGTCTCATAATCCTGTCAGGTTTTCCCTGTCAGACTCCACACCGATGAGACCTTTGTTTGTGCAGCAGCCTGAGCCTCACCAAAAAGAAAACAAAGCAAGAACTGCCATTGCCTAGGTGAAGGGCTACTGTTTTAAAGGCACCACAGCAGCCAAGGGAACAGAAAAGCCACAGTCAGTTTGCAACTAAGTCTCGTGTTTAACGCAGACGGTGGGTTTGGGTGCCAGGCTCAAAGCTCTACCACCTGCCTTTGGCCTTTTTCCAGGTGAGACCACATTTTCTTTCCTTAATGGATGATGGTTTAAAAGAAAACAAAACAAAACAGCCATTTCTTATCCTTTCTGTGGGCCTTAGTGTGTAGCAGAAAACCTCATTCATTACACTAGAATTTTGGGAAGAATAGATGCTTTTCCAATTAAATTTTCATTGAGATACTTTCAGCAGGTTTTCAGGACCATTTTTTTTTTCAGCAGGAACAGGGATGGAAGGGGTTCATTTTACTGACACTTTGCTCATTGACATTTCAGTGTCTTTTCAAATTCCCAGATTTCCTAGTTTGCTGCACGAAGATCAGGGCTTGGGCCCAACAGCCTTCTCAGGCTCCTTCCAACACTAAATCACTGAGTCTGCCACAATTTTCCAGCAATCAGATCCAGCAGAAAACCTGACCAGTGAGTAAAAGCTGTCAGAGAAGGGATTATTCTAAAACTGTGGCATACCAGTGAACTTGATCTATTAGCTTTGTTTGTTAAAATCTTCCTTTATAAAGGATTTCTACATTCAAAGATAGATTTTTCAGCTTCTGACTGTGGAAGCATGTAAAACCTCAACTTCTGAAATAGCACACTAGTATCCATGCATATATATTCATATACAGCATATACCATACATCCATATGTACACAACTCTTCAAAAAACAAGGACAGGGTATGTGTATGGAGAAGACGATGTTAGGCACAGACCGCTGCTGAACATGCAGTCTGCAGTGAAAGGCTACAGTCTACACAGCTCAGGATCCCTGCACTTCAGTGTTTAATAGTTTTCCAACTAGAACAACTCACTGCCTAGGTAGAGATTATTGAGTATTTGGTTAAAAAAAATGGAAAAAAAAAAAAGAAAAAAGAAAAGCAAGCAGGCAAAAGCCTCACGAGATGTGCTGTACTCACATCTGTAACAGATTAGCTGGAAGGACAGTGGCCTTGGACGGCTGCAAAGATCAAACCCCATGCACTGATGGTCAAGCCCCATGTTTGTTCTGTCTCTGTGTCTCTGTAGAATATTTGGGTCAGTAAATAGTACATTTCCCCTTGGTAAGGGTCAAGATGCTGGAAGAGTCAGGCCTGGATAAGCAGTACTCCACTGAGCAGTTTTAAGAAGGACATGGTCCTGTTTTGTGTTGACTGGGGGGATCAGATGAGCAGGAAGGGGCAGGAACAGGGGATCTGTCACCTGAACTCTGCAGGCACAACCAGGAGGATATCAGCTTGTAGGGAAATCCCCCAAGCTGAAACTCATGTGCTGCTCTGGGCAACTTTCATAAAAAACAGGATGGAGCTAGAAGACCTGGGTTTCCTTTGATTCCTACTCCAATTCCTGCCTACAAAAATTACTAACGTTACTGTCTATGCTTTTGTCTTAAATTCAGAACTTTCCTGATCTCTCCCTCCTTTCTCTTAGACTCCAAAGTACTAAACCAGCAACAATTCTGCCCTCTCCCCTCACACCCTAATTTCGTTTTCCACCCCTCCCCACTCCTGCACCTCTGGGTCTTCTCATCTTACAGTTCATCACCAACCTCTGTTTTCCAGTATTCTTGAAACTTATGTACTTCTGGATTTAAAACACACAACACTCTTCCTTAGAGGGCACAAAGGCCTCTGGACAAAATAAAAAGAGAAACATACCTAATTCCCACAAATAAACAATGAAATCCTGGAAAATAAACACATTTACCTAGAGCTCATCAGCTCCACTCTAGCACTGGAGTTCTACTCAAATTACCAAATTACTTGGTTCAAGATTTTTCAGCTTCAGGTTTTCTTGAGCTAAGACACTACTGTGGAGGCTAAGTCTGGAGCTAAGACACAACTGGAGGCCCCGGGGCTGGCAGCTCCCTGAGCAGCAGCCATGTGGTCTCTGC